TCAATTGATCACAAAAAATTGACTATCCCGAATATACCCGAATAAAAAATATTTGTAAAATAAATTAACTCCATAGGAGGCATTAATCCAAGATTCTGTCACTAATCAATTCTAGACGTTCTGTTATTGATAATCCACATCAGACATATAACAGCAAGTTATCAAAATATTTCAAGCATTTGTAGAGGGGGGAAACCAACTTTTATTTTGATATATATTTTCAATTATTTAGTCAAAAACATCAAATACTGTATGTGACATACGGAGGAGAAGTACCATCTGCACACATTTTCTTGAGCTCAAAAATCTCTTCCCAACATTTCAACTATATCCATTAGACATTTTCCCTCCCACATTATACAAAACTTATTTGCATCGATAAACAATCAGGTTTAATTTTTTTTTTTTTTGTATTACTGACAAAACAGTATCATAACATTGGCATTACTCCTACCACTAAAAGCAAAAGGAATGCTCAACAAAATGAGCGCATAGTGAAGCTACATTTAAACTCAATGGATGAGGGAAATTGGACAAAAACCTGATCAAAATAGGGGTCTTTGACCCGGAAGCTGAAATACATAATTTGCAAAGAATTTACTAATAAAAATCAAATACAATCATACAAACTATAAACACTAATATACTACTAACACTACAAACATAACTTAAGCCTGTAAATATATAATATATTGCTAACACCAATAAATACATACACATTAATGCCCTCTAAATAAAATAATTTTATTATTAACTGATCTAATTCTATTTTTCTGGTAAATTTCAGCCTTTTGTCTTCCTATATGTTTTAATCTAATTTCAATACATTTAAATAATATTGCCTTAATCAAATACATCCTATGATTCAGCATGGCCTCTTAACCAATAATATGATAAGTTAAATTACAAAAAACGGAATCTACAAATTCTCTCAAACATCTATTTACAGTTGTAGTGTAAGTTGCCCTTTCAAAACTGACACCTCTCCCTTGAAGTATTCTTACTTCTACTTCTGTGATTTTGCAGAACATTTGCAGAAGGGTATTTTAGCCCATGATCATCCTTCCTCTGAATGAAGGAATATGATTCTTCATCACTATCAGTCCGGCAAAGAACTATCTTACAGTCAACACAAGCAAGTGAAATTTCCATTTTTTTTTTACTACAAATCCTCTAATAAACGCTACAATGTCCACAACATAGGGAGACAAATCTAGTTTGAAGATTGTCTACTGATGGCAAGTACATATGGTCAATTGGCACCTCACTGCACAGTTAAGGATCATTCACTTGTGACACTTGTGTACTGGCGTGAACTAACATTTAATATAATTGTTTCATCCTGTGGAACACAATTTGCAAAGGCAGAAGAAGAAATCTGGTGATGCACCAGCAATCGCATGTAAGCTCCAGCATATTGCTTCGCAGTAGGATTATTGTTGAATCCGCCTTTGCTTCGTATGCAGCTGAAAAACATTTCCAGATGATCCTAGCTAAACTTGTAGGCCCCCAAATAATTACGCTGTAGCACCAGAAATAACAAACAGCATGGAAAGGTACACGCAATACAACGCAAATCAAACTACCGGTGTCCTAAAGTCACGTGACTTGCGGCCACCGCATGTTGAAACCTGCGCAGTAGGTTCACGCGCACTCTGGTTGTATTTCTCCTCTATGCTTCGCTCCAATTTCGATTTTGTGTTACCGTTCTGTGATTGGTTCATTTCTTATGTCTTACTTAAGCATAAGCACAGAAGGTTGAAGCCTTCAACCTTTTAAGTTAACGACTTACGTGTTATGCTTATGCGAACGCATTGTGAACGAGTCCGTTTATGGACGTAGTCCTGTTACCGCCATTCTTATGTTTACGTTTGGGGCTTAAAAGAGTACGATTTTCTCCAAACTGAATAAACCCCTGTCGATTTGGCTCCGCTCAAGGCATCAGTAGTTTGAAAAACTTTCTTCAAAATTTGGGGGTACTTACATAAAGCCTCACGGTCATTTTCAAAATTTTCTCAAAATCAGCTATAATAATTTCTTTAAATTTATTGTAGGAACAGATCAAAATACATTTATAAAAGTGGCATAGGTCTGATTTACACGTTTAACACAATTTTCGAAAATTGAAAAATTTTGAATTTTTTGCAATTCTACAGCTACAAAAATGAAGATTGAGATTTTTCTTTAAATTAAATTTGTTTTCCATAGTGAGTTCTTTCATTAAGGTCTTGTACATATTTTTAAAAACTTTAGTAGTTTTCCGCAATATGTGCTATTTTAAAAAATTACAAAAACAAGATTTTCTCAAGAACTGCTCAATTTTTTTTCTTTGCACTATTGGTAGGAATAGGGAAAATGTGCGGCGGCGATGGTGTAACGGTTAGCGTATTATTTCCAAGTTCACCGGTTCAAACATATGGGTTTTTAGGGCGAGAAAATCCTTCTTACGCCTTCTTTAGGGGGGGGTAGTAAAGCCGGCTGTCCATGTTAGTAGATTTACTGCATGTAAAAGATCCTCAAGCCTAAATGAAGCCTCTGAGCTAAATTCAAATCACTTGTTTCGTTGCCCAAGATATTCCTTTCTCCGCAAGTGGGTGAAAGAAGCGTACCGAAATTTGCGTGGTCAGACGAAAGATCGGGCCTGATGGTCTGAGTCTCGCCACGGAAAATAAGGCATCAATTCAATTCAAAACAGTGAGTCTGGATACAGAAGATCTCGTAAAAAGAAGATTCCCGGGCGTAAACGTTCCATGGATTGATCAATACATGATTGAGGGCGCTTCAACGACTAAAGGTACCGGTTCCGACGACAACGACAAAAGGTAACGTTCCATGGATTGACCAATACATGATTAAGGGCGCTTCAACGACTAAAGATTCCGTACGTGTAGTACATGTTTTTCCTCGGGTGGTGCATTCAAAAATGCACTCTATGAGATCACATAAACATATGTATGCTCTATTTTTTGTTTTTTCAAAAACTACAAAAATGTAAAGTTTTTTTTACTTTCTCACGTCCTTAATATTTACACTAATAGCATTTTTTTCACATTATTATATTTATAAGTACATGTGCTTTAAGTAATGTCATAGGTAGATTCACAAAAACAATCGTTTTTTGTGAAAACTGGCTAAAAATTCCGCATTTTCAGAAACGCTCAAACGCCATATTTTCATAAATGGCCCAAAATTGTTTTCTAACTGATAGTGCTAATTCGACTCTTTAATATCAGGTTAAGTTCATTGTGGGATTTATTTGTTTTTTTGTAAAGTTGCACAAATGTAATTTTCTTGAGAGATCTTTCATGCCATTAATATGTACATTTTCAGCAACTTGTAAACCCTATTGTATGTGTTTGTGCAACTTGTATACACTATTGTAACTACAAAAAATTCTGTAAATAAAGAGCTTAAAATTTAGAATTTACAGTAGCACTTAAAACACCATTTTCTTAAAACATTGGCTGCAAATTTTTCTAAGAAAATTGCCATTTAGGACAAGGTTTTTTTCTATTCTTTAATATTCTTAAAATAATATTTCCATTCTGCTATTAGGAAACCGAAAATTAACAAAATTACTTTGGGGGTGATAAATGACAGCTGGCACGGGTACACGATAAATCCGAATAGCTAGCCGAGACAAAAGGAAATAGAAAACTAATACAGAAAAGTCTGTGCCAATCTGTAGCATCACTACTTCCTATTGTGTTTCAAATCAAATTGTTTTGTAAGTTATAAAAAGTAATATTTTGGCTTATTTTTGCCTTTGGTTACATTCTACAACTTTTTCATATTTGATATTTCATTAAAGCATGCTTTTATCTCAATTTAAAACTATTTGCTTTCCATTGGACTCATAGACGTCTTGAAGTTCATAGTTTTTGATAAGATTTTTCAGAGTTGCAGCTTAAATTGTGGATATGACTTCCTTGGTTTTCAGTAGATAAGGGACATTGGCACTGGATTTAAGGACTGTTCGGGAATTATCTGGACATAATGAATTTTTTCTCAATTGCAAAGACAGAATGAATTATATAAACTAAATCTCTGTAACTTGTGTTACGGAAGTGTTGAAGGGAAGAACATGAAAGTAACGAGCAGTCACACATTTACAAAAATTATATAGAAATGTTTTTTAGTAAATTCTGTTAACATAATATTCCTGAGACTAATGTCTAATAAAAAGTGTTAGAACCTACTGTTAGGGAACTTAACTAGTCAGCTGCATTATTTATTACAAAGAAGAATGAAGTAAATTAACCTTTCATATTGTATAACTAATAAATTCAGACTCTTCATTTCTTTGATGATCAGACTTTCTGAAGAAAAACAATTTTTGGAAGAAACAATGATAGAAACCGTTAAACCAAGCCATTACTTTAAGTAATTAATGGCCCCACAAAAAGTGAGAAACAAATGAGATATTACATTGACAATAATTTTCTAAAAGATGTGAAAGGTTCCAGCCTTCTTGCATGTCAACAAATTTAGTGTCTCTGGTGAACAATAAAACACAATTTTCTCAGCAATTATAAAATACAACATTATTTCCATTAAATGCATTAGTGATGATGATCAATTTCAAATTATGTTAAAAATTTACTAGAATTGAGGAATTAAAGAAGAAACTGACATGTTTTTGTGGCAGTACACTATGTGTAGAATATTGCTGATCAGCACCATTGATATGTTCAATGTTTTCAAGGCACATTATTGCAATAATTAATATGTCAAACATTTTATAAGAACTAATATTTTTTATTAAGAAAATGTTATTACTGCTTGTTTATCAGGAGTCAAAAACTTAACTTATTTCATCCAACATCTCAAATATTTTAAACTATCAGGTTTTCTTTAATTTGAATTATTTTAATAAAGGCTATAATTAAAATGTTTCCTTTCACATAATAAAAAGTGCTTATTTTACAGAAATGTTGAGATACTCAAATCAATGTAGTTACCATGTTGCAGAAACACATCCAGCTGGTCAATCATTCCAGCACGTAATTCTGGAATCGGCTTGTCTTTTTTAACCAAAGCAAACACATATTTCGCAAGTGCTTCTGGATCTGCATTGCATCTACAACAGGAAGATTAGATAGGTAATAAATTTCAGACTAATTAGTAACTGGCAACAAAAAATGTTTTTCGATTGACAAATATCATTGGTAGTGATTTCAGTTAATTACAATATATTAAAAGAAACTTTTTTTAGTGTGAAGATAACACTTTAATCAAATTATAATTAGCTAAACTTTTAAAATTATTTATCAAATTCCATTTTTTCCATCCACGGCCTCAAGCGATTGCACAGAGCACGGGGATCACAGCATCTCAACCTCCCGCGTTGCTCTAGCCTAATACACTTAAGATAAAGGCATGCTTCAGATATACTTAGTATGCGAAACTTGTTTCAAATAAATATCCAGACTAAAATTCAACCTTTCAGGTACGGCTCGACAGAAAAATTGAGAACGTTTTATTTAAAATTACAATTTTTGTTTTGAGCAGCATATCTGTTTGCTAACTTTGGCCTACTTACAATGGTTCCAGGACTGTTGTCAGCCACGTTTTGAAGGCCTCCTGGTTTTCAATAATCATTTTTAAGAACTTAATATACAAAATATGATATTAATGACAAGTATTTCACAGTATTAAGGGCCAAAATGCATTCACTACGTGGTAAATATTCCGTAGAGACGAGTGTTTACTACCACACACGAAAACGCTGTTAATGCCACATATTCCCCATATGCAGCACTACAATCGCCAAAGCAACAGTGGTTTGTCGATCGTCAGTCTTCTTTTCGTTGGATAATCGAAAGCAAAGAGAAACCCATGGTATAACCGTTACCCTCGGTGAGAAGGTGGCGATATAACTATGTTAAGCAAAATATGGTAAACAAAGGAGTACCCGTAAACGATGGTAATCAAAGATATTTATGGATGAATAGATATCTATGTTAGGGATACCATCAACTACCAGTGTTAAAACGTCAAATACGATGATAGCCCTCTTTATTAGCCTTTTACAATCGATGAATGTTACTGAGCTGTGGAGTATTAAGCTATCGTTATTTCCACTTTATATTTTATAATTTCATCTTGGCCGACTCTTGTTAGGTGGTTCATTAGAATACGTTAAGAAACACCTGAAACACGAAGACAGAGAGTATTTTACAATACACGAAGATCTGAAAAGTAGTTTTCACGCGAATCGACTCTGTGAAAACAAAAACACAAGAGCAAAGACAAAATGTGATAACCCAGTGTAGAAACGAGTCTTCTCTTGGTTATAACCCTCTATTGGAGGTAGTACTAGATTTCCTGCGACATAACCGAAACATAATAGGCATATTACGCTGATTTTTCTGAGTGAAAATAATATAGGACGACCGAGAAAGACAAAAATTCAGTTGAGTGTATTGTCATGCAGTTTACGAAAGCAAGTTTGAGATGTTTCTTCTCATTCAATCGTGCAATTATAAGGCGTCAGTCTTTTCAAATACGGGTATTACGTTAACTTAATGACCATGTATAAATATTGGTGCGAGCTTTTTGTTTCATGCTACTGCCTTGTTTTGAAAATTACAGAGACTTTATTGTACCAATGAAATAAATAGAGCCCAGTCAGCCAAAAGGAACCGACCGATGGTAACAATTTTTGAACAAATAATCAAGAGAGAGATTCCAGCAGATATCGTATATGAAGATGAAAAATGTTTAGCTTTCAAAGATGTTAATCCTCAGGCGCCCACGCATTTGCTATTGATTCCAAAGAAACGAATTCCTATGATAAGTGATGCAGTTGATTCTGACCAAGAGGTATTAGTTACTGCTAAGCTTAATATTATATTGATGTTGAAAGTTATTAAATATTTCTGCTCTACATGCAGCTACTAGGTTATTTGATGCTGATTGCTCGAAGGTTGGCCAATGAGAGGCTACAAAAAGGATATAGATTGGGTAAGTATTTGCCTTTGTCTTTGTGTCTAATAATTTCTCATTAATTTGCAAGGCTTCTTTTTCAGTAATAAACAATGGACCTGATGGCTGTCAATCAGTTTACCATTTGCACATCCATATACTTGGAGGACGACAACTAGGTTGGCCACCTGGCTAAATTAAAACATGCTGAATTATATAGTAAATAAAGGCAATTCAATTCAGGTTTCTTTATTTGTGCAAATCAGTACATTCAGTGAAATAAAATCAAAATGTTTTACAGTCAGTCTTCCATCATTTTTTTAATGTGTAACTCTTCCTGAGATACATTCAACTTGTGTTGTATTACAGAAGTTTTCATAATCCATAAGAATACAATATGAAAGTTTGATAAGGGTGCCGTTGGTAAACCAGCAAAAATACACCTTACAAAATTTCATGGACACATTGCATTATAATTAGCCACACCTCTCGAAAAGGGGAAAGAATCACAATTTGTAAGATATTTGCAACATCAGTGAAATTTGTGACAATTCTGTCTTATACAAGAAATTTTTTATGATAACATCTATACAGTTAAACACAACCATTTTTACACATACACTCACTCATTCTTTTTATTTATATATATATATAATTCAATTAACCCTATCTTAAATACTACTAGTTTACAAAATTACATTACTTCGAAGACAAGCCTTACGAAAGGTGCATTCTTTCGAATAATTACAACTTTTCATGTTATTACAATCAATCAACACAACTACACTTAACATATTCTTCAGTGAACATGCAAGATTGCCAATACATACATCAGAAATGTTTAAGATTAAAGGTATATAGTCATTCAAGGTAGTAATGAAATGAATTCCAAGATCAAAACATAATTAGGCAGAAAGTTCATAAGTCACATACAAGTCATTCATACTGAACACCTCTATTCAAAAATGTCAAATTAAAAAGTGCCAAGTTTTTTTTATTGTTTTTTTATTACCAGGAACATGTACAAAAACCAGATATTTCTTCACATTAAATTAGCAACGAAAATATTTTTAGAGAAAAAATTTGCACACTTTTGTAAAGCATCACCAATAAAGGAAAATTTGATGAATGAACTAGGGAATAGCTAATTGTGTGTGTATCCAGATTGACTGAGACAAAAATTAAACACACATCTGAAAGAACAAAAATGCAAAACTATTGTGACAACTTTACCGTACTCATACAAAACCTTCAAAGTAATTTCAAAAGGATGCTAAAAGATTAAAACAATCACATAAGTAAGTAACTACATTTCTCATTAATGAGTTATTTCTCAATAAAGTCATTAATTTCAATGCTTCTGTAAAGACAATGACAAAAATACAATTTTTTTAATTATGGAAAATGTTATACTAAATAAAGATAGTTAATTAATCTTTGTGTAAGAATATAAAACTAGCTGGTTACAAAATATTTTAAAACATTCTCAGAAGCTGTTTTTATTTCTACCGCAGAATGACACAAAATAAATTCAATACTATGGCTAGGGCTTGTTATTTATTTAGCACCAATCTATAAATGAGAAAATAGTAGAAATTTGTGTAAAGATTTTCTATCATCTACAAGAACATGTACAACAGGTCTGCATCAGACATCTATTAACTAAAAGTTCTTCGTTGTAATTACTGCTTTGCTTATGCACTGAATCTCTCACCTTCTCATTACACAATTTACAATCCTATTATTGTAGGCGTCATTTACATGGCACAGTATTGATAATGGGAGAAGTTCAAAACAAAAATATAAAAACAATGTTTATTAAAATAATCATGGACCTTTTTAAACTGCTCAATTGAATCAATACCACTGCATAATAAATTTTACAAAACAAAACACATCACAACTACAAACAAATTCTTTCTACCATCTCTCTCAAGTCCAAAGCAAAAAATATTAATAATGCTTTCACAATATAAAGAGGGTAATGCTTTCGAATCTTTGGAAAATTGGTCAAATACAAATATCTATATTCAAAAGCCACATCTCCACAAGAGAACAATGCAGTTAGCACATTATGGAATTTCTGTTTTATATACATATCACATTACACATTAGATTTGAGTCCTGTTATTCTGAGGAATTATCACTTTAAAGGTATTTAAAATTATTTTCCAACTGAATAAGATCTTTACTGCTCATAAAATATACAATAGTACATTGCTGGAAAATTGTCACAAACAATACACATTCCAAATGTTGAGACCATTCGTGACCAATTGGTTGCAATAGATGAATTTAAAACTCAGTAGAACTCTGACTGCGACTGCCAGGCTTTCCAACCAACCTTGACAAACGAGCAGAAGTTCGCCTCATCACTGAATCACTTATCTCAAACTGAGTCTGTGTACCAATTATATTTGGTTTTATTGATTTGAGACACTTTGCTGCTTCCTGGAGTTGTTTTGACAAAATTTCATTTTTGACTTTCTCCGCATTCAATTCTCTTCGAAGCTGAGCCTTACTCTTATTACCAAACAGACACAGAGCTCGATGCTTCATGACTTGCAAAGCCGTAGGACGCATTTCTGGATCAGGGTGAATCATTTGCTGAAATAAAGAAATAAGGCATCAGAACATCTAAATTAAATTCTATAATTAATTATAAATAGAAAGAGTTCTAATCAAGATAGTGTAAAACTGCCATCAAACTAGAAATTGATTTGTGAGAAACTAATGATTTTATGTCAATGTGAGCAAATTATTAAACGAGAATGGCATTATTTCTACAGAATTGTATTATATTTGTGAAAGTTACTTGACTTAATTATGAACAACAAATTTTCAGTTAATTTTAATAAATTAAAAGGCAACAATAGTCCAACATTTTCTACAATACAGTTTATAATACCAATTTGAAATACCACTTACGTTGTTCTGACAACACAAGACAAAGAGAGAATTGAGAACCCAAACTATATAAAAAAAGGCTTTTAGAAAGTTGTTTATTTTAAAAATTTTAATAAATTATTTAATTGTATGTTTGGTACTTGTTATTTTTAATGACTTTTAATAGATAAAAGAAGATAAATTAGGCGCACATAATATTCAACAATATTTAGATATTTCATTTTTTAAAATTAACTGTTATGAACTAAGGGACGTTTTTCTTCTACAGAGGAGTGGCAATCCACAATGTGCTGGAAACCTCTGCTCTAGAAATTAACACAAATGACTGAATCATTCTTTGTAATTAATGAACCTTGAAACATGGTACCTAGATTTCACTAATTTATTTAAAATAAGTGATTATTATCTGAAAGTTGGCAACACTAAATTAGAAAGTATGGATTAGACTTGATCCTGACATTTTTTATGCAGTTTCTTGGCATTTTGATTATAGGTATTAAACACAATCCCCGATGATTTTTTGTACGCAGTTTGTTGTTTTGGATTATAGTGACATTTTACCAAATTACTGAATCTGTTTTCCTTTATTTTCCTGATTTCTCTTCTCAAAAATGTATAGTCGATGAAAAGCCTAATAAGTACCAGCAAAAGACATAAAAAGAAACAATTTGAAGAATGTTTCTGATCTAAATTAAGAATATGACAACTTGTTTTCAACTCCTTAAATTTACCCAGCTCTTCCATGAGACTTTAAAAAAAAATGATTATGCTTAGAAATTTCTGAAATAAAAACTATTCACTGTTTAGATATAGATTTTCTTTAAAACAATTTTTTGAAAGATTATCACTAAAGACTGGATTTTTATTCAAAAAAACACCAAAACATGGAATAAAAACATCAAAATTTTGCAAAATGGCATTATGTAGCCTAAAACTCTAGTTAATCAACTTATTTTACATTTTGATGTGAAATTAAAGGTGAATGAAATATTATAATTTTAGTGCTTTATTATAGTTAGTTTAACCCATTAGTGACTAGTGGAACAAATGGGTGCAAATCACTGTTTGATTCACGCATGTTTAGTTGCTGAAATGGACAAGTTTAAACTCGTTCCATGCATTTCTTTTTACTTTAATGTCCACATGGTCACATTTTTTTGATCAGTTGTGCCGATCCATCGTCAGAACCAAGAAATAATATATTTTTTGTAGAAGATAATTTTATGTTCAAGACAATATGAATGAAGAACTTCAAAATGACTGAATCAGTGAAACATACATTTTGTAATAATGTTATAAAATACTTAATAATCAAAATTTCCATTCACTGTATTATTTATAGTACACTAAGCACTAATGAGAGCATTTCAATTTATATTTTATTGTCGATATTTTGAAAAACTGCTGGTAGTGTTTACACATTTTGTCAATTATTAACAATATTTTAATTGTTATTTTTGTTATTATTATACTTATAAACAAAGAAAACATTTTTATACTTTATCAAATATTCCTTCACATGCTAATCAGGATAGGTTCCAAAGCCTAGTTTTATAATAATTGTACTTCCAGAGAATTTTTCAAGGTTCTTGCACCAGTGTGATTTAGTTTTCAAGAAGCCTTCAATATATTTGAGGATGCTGATTTTCAATCAGTTTTCATTGCTCCACCGGATTGTCATATTTTATTTGATGAAGATGATGATGGTATTCTAATCAATCTCAGTAAATAGCAATACGTAAAAAATATTGATTTCAAGCCTATAAATAACTACAAAATTAGATAATTTTTAGACCATATGAAATTCAGATTTTCAAAATATCTCTCACTAGAAAGTAATTTGTCCCATGACAAAAGTATGGTGCAATATTTGGTTGTGTATTCTAGTAAGAGTAGAGTGATTATGTAAAAAAACTATTTATACCATAACACTCTCCAAATCTCATTACTTGTATAACTTACAAATCGTAGAACAATTAGTGCGCAAAATAAAAAAAAATATAAACACAAATTTTACAATGATATCTGTTCTTCATACACCTACATCATATTACAACAAGGAGACTTAATTGATAGAAATTCATCTATCTCGTGGTGCAAAATGCCATTGTTTCATTCCAATCTGGTATTCCCTGAAGGCCAGCAATTTTTCTTTCACATTACATTTAAATAATATTTAAAAAAATCTAATTGTGCTAATTTTAATTAAGGCTTGAGGAATGTTTGAAGGAAAATAATTACTACACTGAGAATGCAAATACATTTCTCGCAGCACTGACAAAAAATATGTATTACCAAATAGGTATTAAATAATTTCAACAAGATATATTTGTAAATGTGCAACAAAAGCTTGAATGTAAAAAACAAAGAAATATGAAATAATATACAAATTCTAACTTATGTAGCATTCAACTGTCTGGAATCACTCATATTAAGTTCACAAAGCGCAGGAAATTCGAAGCGGGAGACTATTTTAGGCCCAATTACACAAAACATGCTAATATTTTTGAAAACTTTAACATGACCTTATTTGAAGATCTGATTTTGATAAGCGCATTTCATTAAGAGAAAATAATTATTTTCATAATTGTAATTGTTGGAAGAAGCAGAAAATAATTTTTAATTTTTGCAATTTTCAAAAATCAGAAATATTCAGCAAATATGAGACCTGTACCATTTATATAACTGTCCTATAAATTAAGTGTTAAGTAATAAATTAAGTAAAATTTCTGATTCCATTTTTGAAAAAAAATTGTTTAAACAATATCAAAAGTTAATTAATTCCATGCTAAGATACATGAAAAACACATTTTTGAAAAATTACACATGACCTTATTTCAAAATCTATAAGTGGAGAGGAACATATTTCATTAAGGGAACAAACTATCTTTGATATTTTAGATGCAAGAAGACACTGAAAACATTTTTAACTTTTTCAACTTTCAAAAAATCAGGCTTTTGAACAAACATGAGACCGCACTATTCCCTTAAATGTCTCTCTCACTATCCAAGAGTTTGTTAAAAAATGGAGCAATTTTTATCAAAATTTGGAAAATGTTCCAGGGGCTTCATGTAAAGTACCCCCAAAATTAATATTCCGGTTTCAAATCCAAGGGGCTGCAACATCAGCTACATTGATAAGGGAATGTAAATTTTAGAGAAAATCGGCTGTATGGTTTAGCTGCTAGCTTTGTTCATAGATGGACAAACAAATGGATAAACGTTTTGCAGGCAATCAAGTTTATAAAATAAAGGAACCACAAAACTTGGATTCTAGCTACACCACGTTACAGGTTTTTTCTAAATTTAGCAACACTTTTTCATTTCTAGAGCCCGAAAATAGTTTTTCTGCCGAAAATTCGGCGCCTTTTCCTGCAGCATGACGTAACTTACTCTCTACTGCATAAGCGGTGGCGAGAAAGTAAAATTTCTCAAAAACGGTGGCAAATTTATTCCTCAAACTTTTTGTACGGACAATGCTAAATGCACTGTTTAAGATTACGTAATTCATTTAGCTGTATTATTTATTTTAAAATTAATGAAATGTAATTTTTTTATAGGACCTCATGCTCTTGATTTTAAGAGATTTGTATAGATGATTGCATTTGTGAGTGAAAGTGCTTCAAATGACTTCCAATGAAGATTTTCGAAAACAGAAGATATCTGTGAAAAAGAGCTTCAAATTTTGCATATCATGTTTCAACCATTAAGAAACCAAAAAACTGAGAGAAAAAGGAAGTACTTTGGGCAGTGATAGATGGCACCTGGTTATAGGATGGGGCAAGACAAAAAAACTAGCCTGGACCAAAGAAATTAGAAAACTTGACTAGTAAGAGAAAAGTATGTGTCTTTCTGTAGCACCATTAGTTTCATAGAGTAGGAAAACAATGTTGGGGTGATGGAATACAATTAAATTTTAGGGCCAGAAGAATTAATCAACACATTATCCAGGATCCCATATATTATCACCTTACCCAATACTACTTAGATCTCAACCTTGGGCAGTATTAGAAAACGACTTGAGAATGTTTATCATAAGCAATACCACAGCACTTTGGGTGTTATTTATGTGTCTATTTCACAAATTAATATTACATGTATCAAACATAAATAAAATCACAGAATTATGAAAGGGAGAAATATTACTCAAAACTGATAAGATGGGATTGTGCGAAACTTTCATTCAGCTGAGTTATCACTGTCTCCTGGAAGAACACATATCCAAGAAAAATATGAATAACAGTTCAATGTAGAATATCTTTTTAACTATGTTTCAATTGTATGGTAACAAATCTTTCAAAAAACATAATAACAAAATTACTTAAAAGAACATTTAAAAAGTCAAGTATTAAACTTGTAGGAAGTTGATTTTTCTATTCTTTGAGATTCCATGAAAGTATTTGAAAGGGACGACCTATAAGCTGCATTAGCAGCGGGATTCATCTAATTTCGAATGGTTGAACAAACTAATATTAAAGTATTTTCATCTATAATATTGGTTGTAGCGTTCCCTGTGGTGTTGATAGCATATTCTTTGTACTCTTCACCATGAATTTTCAGATATTAATCACCTAATCTTTCAAAATCTGCATAATTTGTAGTTTGTGATGTCAATTTGTATTTTCTTTCTCCACAAAATTCTTGAAATTGCTTACACAGACATTGTGTTCCTTTTGCCGATTTTTGTCATTGAATCTTTAAT